GAGCAGCCCCACCTACCACAACTAGCAACCTTAGGCTGAAGGGACACAGGTGGGACTCGCTCCCTGCCCTGTCCCACTCACCTGACTCCCGTGATGCCGGACACCGCTTTTTGGCGCCCTCAAATCTTGGCGCCTTAGGCGGCCGCCTAGTTCACCTAGTGGTTACACCGGCCCTGATTAACATTAAACATTACCTTTTGAATGTCACGCTTTACCCAGTAACTTATCAACTCTTATCTCTTTTAGAAGAGATCTCTTCTCTCCTCCCCTTACTTCTCACATAGTAACTCCAGCAAACCACACTCAGCCCCAAAAAGACGTTTTCTCACGCTGTAGCAACTTTTCACATGGAAATTAGCTACAGAGGCACTTCAAAAACCATCTGCAACAATTTGCAGCTAGAGCTAAGGTTTATGAAACATATTTCACCATTCACAAATCTCTTTAACAAGACTGGAAACTAAGCATTTTGCAAAACATTAATTACACATTTAGAATTTTTGCCAGTTAAAGTACAAAACAATGCTGCCTTTCTGTCTGTTACTTGACTATGTTTCAAAGTCTGGACCTCATTATAGAATTGCTTCTTAGTGCTCATCAGTAAACAATTCTCTCTGACCAGGCCTTAGTCTGTTATTTAGGTCAGTAGCAAGTAGTATGGTAACGTTGAAAAGAGTTTCCTCCATTCTAGATTTCTTTTTCAATAGTTCATAATATTTACAAATATTTCTTTTGAACTGAAACTTCACATTCATGGTGTGATGCTGTATGGAATATGGGACACACTTTATGATATTGCTGATACTAAAATTAATAAATTGCAACAGATATACTGTGTGAGGTATCTGCGAAAATGTTATAATTGGCCAAGTATGATGATCTTGTTCATATGTTTGTATCACCTTTGTATTATGAGTTATAGATACATAGGGTATATCTGTATTTCCAAACTTGTGCTGTGTTTCTGGGTGACACCCCCAGACAGATTGGCTTCAGCACTAAGCCTGCTTGAGGGCCCATCAAGGGACCTCAACTCTACAATGAAGTTGAAAGGACCAGGGACTACACCTTATGACTAAGGCTGTGAGTTTGTCATGGAAGTCACAGATTCCGTAATTTTTTTTAACCTTTATGACTTCTGCAGCGGCTGGTGTGCCTGGCTCATACCTATGGAGAGAATTCTAAGGTCTTTCAATGCCTGTGCTACAAGTTTGTGTTTGAAACAAAGGAAGTACCAGACACATGGCAAAAGGACTATAAAGGGCAGCTGTATCGTCTCCATTTTCTCTTTAGTCCTGCTTGTCTTCATTCCTGCTTCTTATCTCTGTAGTAACCTTTCTACAAACAAAGCTTTGAACAAAAGACTGAATGACCCATCCAAGCTGTGGATGTGTTCCAGAGGGACTTTCTTCAAGCCAGCAAACTCACCAATACTGCTAAGAACCTGATATATGGACTTTGAAGTCTTTGTATGTACACCACTACCCCGATATAACACGGTCCTCGGGAGCCAAAAAATCTCATCACCTTATAGATGAGACTGCATTATACCGGGTATGGTCCGGTATGGCATACCAGCAAGAGCCGGTATGCCATGCCAGACTGGACCAGCTTCCCTGGTGGTGATTTAAAGGGCCTGGTGCTCCAGCCGCTGCGGGGAGCCCAGGCCCTTTAAATCCCTGCCGAAGCCCCGCTGCCTAAGCTCCGGCGGTGATTTAAAGGGCTGCGGGGAGCACCGGGCCCTTTAAATTTCCGGCAGCCGGGCTCGGGCAGTGATTTAAAGGGCCAGAGGCTCTGGCCCGTGGTTCCAACCGAATTTGGATATAACGCGGTAAAGCAGCGGAGCGCCACGGGCCGTTTAAAGCGCTGCCCGAGCTCCGCTGCTTT